CCTTGGTGAGTACGGCTTCCTGGATCCTCCACCCCGCCTCACTGTCAGGTGTGGTTGTAACACAGTCATGGAGGATTCAAGGAGGTGGCCAGGGTGGCAAGCACCTTGCCTGGCACAGTCTAACTAATGGCCTTCTGGTCTCTTCCTGAACGAGACAAGACGAGAATGTCCCTGGAGAAGATCCAGATGCTCATACGGCCACCACCACTTTTCATTCCAGTCCCCTGGGATGAGTCAAGGGGGGCCGTCAAAGGCAGAGAGCCTCGAGGGAATGACATGCTTCTACATCAGACAATCAGGGATATGAGAGACAAGAGGCGGTCCCGGGAAGTGGTGCTGACAGCTTAAAAAAAAAAAAAAGAGGAAAAACTGCTCAAGCTAGTTTATGGCTGGCTCTGTGATACACCGGCCCCTCTAGAAATGGGCTGCCGTGGTTTTATACTGCCACTGAGGACAGTAGGTGATGAGAAAACCTCCCAGTGGGGAGAATTCTAAGCACATGTTTCTATATCTCATCCGCCTGCTTGTCAGGAAAGATGATTTGATGCAAGAAGCTGCATCGGTTTATGATCAGTGACAGAGGCTTGGCCAAATGGTCAAGCAATGGAAGGCAACAAGATTAGAGGTTTGGTGACAGACATTTGGGGAAGCAGAGATGGCTGCGCCTCTCAGAAAGGGGCAGTTGTGAAAACAATTGTCCGTCGAGTGAAAGGTCACCCAGAGCCTCCACTGTGCAGGAGACTATTATTAAGTGGCAAAGACAATCTAGGACTAACAGTTTCTTTCCCCAGGGACATCGCTGCTTTCTTAACTGATTCAAGAATAAACGTGGCCACACTGTCAAAGAAGGAAACAAGGCGTGGGTTCAAGGCCTGGCTGTCCGTCATCCATCCACCATGGCCAGCAAGTGCGCACAGGATCAGGGATGATCCCTGACTGCACACTGATGACCCGCCAGTGGTCCCACACGCTGCCTGGCTGCAGACTGATTGCTTCCAACCTCTTCCATTATGGAAAAGGCAGAGATTTCTCTTCACAAAGGCAGGCTAGTATGTCTGAATCTGCAATAAACTTCTAGTCCATCTTATCATCATGGCATCCTATAACATCCTATAACATTGCTTCTGACCCAGGAATTCACTTTACAGTCATAGAGGGAAGGTGATGGGCAGATATCCTTACAATTCGATCCTGTCCTCCAGAAGCAGTCATGTGTTCTGAACCAGGCAGCGTACTAAAAAGTAGAGACACCACTTTGCCAACAAAGGTCTGTATAGTCAAAGCTATGATTTTTCCAGTAGCCAGGTACAGATGTCAGACTTGGACCATAAAGAAAGCTGAGAGCCGAAGAATTGATGCTTTTGAACTGTGGTGTTGGAGAAGACTCTAGAGAACCCCTTGGACTGCAAGGAGATCAAACCAGTCAATGCTAAAGGAAATCAACCCTGAATATTCACTGGAAGGACTGATGGTGAAGCTGAAGCTCCAACACTTTGGCCACTTGATGCAAAGAGCTGACTCTTTGGAGAAGACCAGATTGAAGGCAAAAGAAGAAGGGGCTGCAGAGGGTGAGATGGTTGGACGGCATCACTGAATCAACGGACCTGAATTTGAGCAAACTCTGGGAGATAGTGGAGGACAAAGGAGCCTAGTGTGCTGCAGGTCATGGGGTGGCAGAGAGTTGGACATGACTTAGCAACAGAACAACAACATATTATACAAGATTTGGTTTTATGACTAGCTGTGAGACAGTATCTCATGAGGCTGAGATATTGTTCTCTAAAACGGGTGTTTGTTCAGAATGAGTAATCATTATGCGATATTATTCCTCCCACAGCCAGAGGAAGCAGGTCTGAAGGAAGAGAGGGAGGGGTGCTGCCCCTCCGTTTTACTGAATGGCCCTCACGCCAGTCAGCGCTGGACTCTGTCTGGTTAGGGTGCTTGTGGCCAAGAAAGGAGTGTCCTACCACTGGGGCAGCTAGTCTCCAGGGAAAAGGGCATTACAATGTTTAGATTGCCTGAGGGATAACTCCATTATCTAAGCAGAAAGGTTTTGCTTTTTTTTTTTTTAAGAAAAAAATAGAAGAATCACAGTGATAAGAGAACAGACTCTGTATGATTTCAATACCTTTAGACCATGACATTTTTGCATCTTGTTTTATGTCCCTGGATATATTCCAGTGTCTCCTGGTTTATAGTCTATGGGAACTTGAATAGAACTTGTACCCTGCTATTTATGCGCTGTGTGTCCGACTCTTTCAACACCATGATCTATAGCCTGCCAGGCTCCTCTATCCAGGGGATTCTTCAGGCAAGAATGCTGAAGTGGGTAGCCATTTCCTTCTCCGGAGGATCTTTCCATCCCAGGGATTGAACCCAGGTCTCCCTCACTGCAGATTCTTTACCATATGAGCCACCAGAAAATCCCAGATTGTATAAATCTTAATTATGTTCAAGTGGTTCATAGGGCTTTTTGGGTCTACTGTATCCTACTTTTATGCCTATTCATTCTATTAATTTTTGAGAGTTTGATATTGAAACTCCAACTAAAAATCTTAATTTATCCACTTAGAAAATATCTGTAATATACAGCAGGATGATATGTAACTTTATTCTGTATTTTTCAACTCTCCTATAAGTGTGTTATCATATTTTCATTATTTAAAAACTCAAAAATTTAAAAAATGAGGAAAGTGTATATAGATGTTGAACAGCAAGAGTGGAGCTGCAACAAAGTTAATTCTTTTCCTCTTTTGGCTCTCCACTCTCTGAGCTCATTCCAAAAATTGGAAAATCCATTATTATGTGAGTCTTAATAAGAGGGCAAGACCTGTTAGTTCAAGGACACAGGATCCAAACTCAGCCATCCAGATGACCTGCTCTGCTCAGAAGTTTGAATGTGAGGCCAGGATACAAACAGTTGGGATCAGTTTAGAGTTCTTTCCCATGGAGACGCTGGTAGCATCAAGTGGCGGCAGCCTGAGTAATGGTCCAGGACCAAGCGACGATGGCATCCAAATCAAGCTGTTCCTAAGATGTGACTGGGTCATACTCCCAAGCTCCGGGGCCTCCCAGGTGGCACAGTCCACCTGCCGACGCAGGAGATGGATCTGACCCCTGGGTCGGGAAGATGTCCTGGAGAAGGGAATGGCAGCCCACTCCCAAGACCTCTAGTTTTCTGGGATCCAGCCCATTTTCAAGCTGATTCTTCACAGACCCTATGAGCTCCCTGATAACCCTCCACTAAATTCTTTGTCTAAGCAAACTGGAGTTGGACGCTGTTGTCTGCAACTGTGCATCTAGCTAGCTCTTCCCATCTGAGCTCTTTCCTTTTCTTCTCCTGGTGATGGGCAGGGCAGATGCTAGGACTAACTCTAGTTAGCTCTCATATTATCTACCGGAAAGAGGCAGCTTTGAGAAGGACTGGACACAGCATAGGTCATCCACAACAATATCCCCTTTATTGGTATTAATCACAGTTATGAGGTCTTGTCCATCAGAAAGAAGTCTGCATTATGTAGAACTCTGTTACAAAGACTTTTAAAAACATCTATATGCCAACCACCAAACCAATGAATCTCCACCAATCAAACTTCTGAATGTGTCTTCAATGTTGATCATCAGTGCTCTGGAAGAAGGTACATAGATCCAGCACAGGGCATTCCCAGAACAGTGTATCCACCCTTGGAAATGATGAGATATGTCAACCTGGGGTGGGCCTTGACCACACAATGCCTTAACACCTGGCTCTTGGGTTGCCTGCCTTGTCAGCAGAACCCACTCAAGGTCCCCTATGCGCCTTGGGCCAGCGAGGACGGCAGGCCTCAGCTATGTTTGAAGTAGACAAGATATGCCACCCCTGCAGGAGAAGCTGTGTGTATATATCAGGGAGTAGACTGGCTTCAAGTCTCATTCAAATCTCATTATTTAGGGGTCATTTTAGAACAATGACTTGGCTAAAATTTACTTTAAAGGGGAAATGTAAAAAATACCTCTTGTTATTCTACCCTTCTTTCTGTCTCATCCTGAGTTTTCTGACTGAAATCCAGTAAAACTGCTTAGGAGGTCTGGGTCAGGTTACAAATTGCCAAATAGTCAAAGGAGGAGGACCCAGTCTTATATTCACTTAGACGAGCTTCAGTGACTCCCTCAGAAAGTAAATGAAGGGGTTGAGTTCCAGCACTTTGCTGGTGTCCCCAAGGCTCTTAGAAAAATGAAGGCTATAAGCTTATCAAAACACACATCTGGGGGACTTGGAGACCCTGGCAGAATGAGTTTCTCTTGGAATCTAGAGAGAGCTGAGCTCTCGAATCAGAGTGCCACTCTGTCCTTGGTTCACATGGCTCACTGTGCATCCACAGTTGTCCTGATTCCCTTAACTTCGACAGTGCCAATCTTTGCCGTCAGAAAAAGAGAAAAAGAAAAGACCAGCTGATTTTCTTCCCTTCGTCTGCGCCTCCTTCCGTGCAGCATCCCCCGTGGGGGAGAAAGAGGAAGGTATGTTCCGCCCTGGGATGCTTTGTCCATGATGTTCCTGTTCCAGTCTTGATGGACAGAGGGTCAGTGGTAAAAGAGCAGGAAGGACGGATAAGAGCTGTCCTGGCCTTTCTGAGTCACTAGGCAAAGATGCTTAGGAGACTTCTCTCTTGCTTCTAGAGGTGACCTTGAGGAACTTGTGTTAAGTCTAGCGAGGGCGACTGAAGGTACAAAAGATTTCCCTGATCTGCGTGTCCTTGGTTATCCCATTGAAGAAAGATTCTACGTAGTGGCCAAGCAAAAATCTGTAGTTCTGGGCCTGCTTGAAATTCCAAATAAAACCACTATCTCCCTCAAAAGAAATCTAAAAAGTGTCATATTTTAATCAGAGTCAATCAAGGTAATGAGATGAAAAAGGAGAAGAAGGAAAACGTTTGGATGTGAAGAAAAGAGGCTGGTCCTGCCGAAGCCAACGGTGGCCGTCTCCTCGTGTTGCCATTCCTGGGGTCCGAAGCATCTCGGCACTAGCCCAGACCGACGTCCAACGACATCATCACCACGAAGCCCAGGATGGAGGCCCAGGACGCCAGTTTGCCGTTACCACTAAGAGGGAAGGAAAGGCAGAGGGTGAGACCTCGATGCAGCGCGGGACAGCGTCCAAGCTGACAGCATCCTCCAGTGTCCAGTTCCTGGGGAAACACACCACTCCTGTTCATAATAATAGTAACAACAACAATATTGACTTGTGGTTAACAGATACATACTACTATATATACAACAGATAAACAGCAAGGACCTACTGTAGGGCACAGGGAACTATATTCAACATCTCGTAACAACCTGCAATGAAAAGAATCTGAGGGATGTCCCCGGAGGTCCAGTGGTTAAGATGCTATCACCCAAAGCAGGGTGTGCAGGTTCGATTCTTGGTTGGGGAACTAAGATCCCACACACTACAGGGTACAGCCAAAAATTAAAATAAATAAAATGAATTTGGCTTAAAAAAACTTAAAAAAAGAAAACCCAAAAAAGAATATATAAATATGTAAAAATGAATCACTCTGCTGTACACTTGAAACCAATACAACATTGTAAATTAACTATATTTCAATAAAAAGCAGTAATATTGACAAGCATGCCTGCTAAGTCGCTTCAGCCGTGTCTGACTCTTTGCGACCCCGTGAACTGAAGCCCGCCAGGCCCCTCTGTCCATGGGATTCTCCAGGCAAGAACACTGGAGTGGGCTGCCATGCCCTCCTCCAGGGGATCTTCCCCGCCAAGGGATCGAACCTGTGTCTCTTACATCTCCTACTTTAGCAGGTGGGTTCTTTACCACTAGTTCCACCTGGGAAGTCCCCAAGAATGACAAGTAACAGTTAGTAGGGCTTACTATGGTGGTTCAGACGGTAAAGAACCTGCTTGCAAAGCAGGAGACCTGAGTTTGATCCCTGAGTTGGAAGATTCCCTGGAGAAGGGCATGGGAACCCACTACAGTACTTTTGCCTGAAAATTTCATGGACAGAGGAGCCTGGCAGTCTACTCTCCATGCGGTTGCAAAGAGTTTGGACACGACTGAGCGACTAACTCTACATGCCAGGTAAACTAACTCATGTAAACCCTGAGGGCCGACAGATGAGGTCAGTTCTGTCATCATCCCCATTTTCCTGGTGAGAAAACGGAGGTGTGGAGAAGTGACTTTCTCAAGGTCACCTTGAGGGCTCAGGAATCCATGCTCGAATAATAAAGAGCGGCAGTGACTTTCTGAAGACATTATGTCACCTGACCTTGTAAACCAGCCTCAAAATCATTCTGCTAGGAAAACCAAAAGGAAATAAAGGCAGGGATCTGCCCCCCTCCCCGCCAAATGGCCTATAGCTGACAATGAAGACCTGGAGGGCAGCTGTGGTCAACATTGTAGAGCTCACCTCCCCCCTTTCCAGCCCCAGTAAAATCTAGAGAGACAGAGAGAGAGAGAGAGAGAGAGAGAATATACAAAGCAGTATTCTGTGTCTTTGGGGGTGGAGGGCTGGGCTTGATATCAGGTCCTCCGACTCTCCACCCCGTTACTCCTCTTTCTGTTTCAAAGAAGCCAGTCGAGGAGAGGGTGGAGATGACCTTGGGAAGGGGCCTGAAGAGGTGGAGGTGAAGGAAAGAGGGGCCAATAAAGGCAGGGCAGATGCTGGGGGCGGGGCTGGGATGGAGACCAGGCCTGGTGGGGCGGGGAGGTTCTCACCTGATCTGGGCCTCGGGGATGATGTCATCCATAATCACGTAGACCATGGCGCCGGCAGCAAAGGCCAGCGCGTAAGGCAGGATGGGCTCAGCCAGCACCACTGCGAAGGCGCCGAAGACCCCGGCCAGAGGCTCCACCATGCCGCTGAGCTGCCCATACCTAGGAGAGAACAGACGCGTCCCCACGGGGAGGCTCGGGCGGACACCCCGCGTGCTCTGCGGGCTGCCTCGGCTCTGCAAAAGGGATGCATTGTCCTCCACGTCAGATCCTGCATCGCTGGGCAAAACCACCTCATTGTGTGTTGTTTTTATTAACACCACCTCTGTCTGCTTTCCCAGCTCCCTATTATTACACAGTCACTGTAGACACCCCCTCCCAGGTTTATTTTAGAGTTTTAAGTTTCCCACATTGTCTTCTTAAAATAACAGCCTTATTGAGATAGAATTTGCCTACCTATGGAATGGCGAATGGCGCACCCACTGAATGTGTACAATTCAGTGGTTTTCAGTGTATTCATGAGGTTGGGCAACAATTTCCACACGATCCAATTCCAGACCGTTTCCATTACCCCCCAAAACAAACCTCATACCCACTGGCAGCCACTCCCTGTTCCTCCCTACCCCCATCCCCTGACCACCGCTAATCTACTTTTTGTCTCTAGGGATTTACCCCCTCTGGTTGTTTGCTATAAATGGAGTCAGACAATGGGTGATCCCTTTTACTGGCTTATTTCACTAAGCGCCCGGTTTTCAAGGTGCATCCCTATTGTAACAAGTGGACTTCATCCCTTTGATGATTGCACAATATCCCATTGTATGGACACACCACATGTTACACCGCCAACCGTTCACCAGCTGAGGGCTACATTGTCCTCTGAAGGCTAGCACCCTGATGGGGAGGAGTGGGGCAGACACTTCCCAAGGACTTGGGTGGTGCTTGGTGTGTTGAGGGTTCCGGCCACAACGGCACCCCTTCTGAAGGAGCCACACCCGCCGACCCCTGCCCACAAGTTGAACCTACCTGGCCAGGTATGGAGTGAGGGCCTCTCCCCACAAACCCCCCTCCTTGGATTAAGGTGAGATTTTTCCTTTGGAAAACACCCTTTATCTGAGCTCTAGGGTGTCTGGAGGCTGGAATCCCATGAGCTCTATTAAAAGAGCAGCCCCCACGAGCCCTGAGAATTTGGTGCCCAGAGATAAGCCCGCACCTGAGCCCCATGGCTGAGTCCCACCAGTAAGAGACACCTGTATGGGCTGATCATCAGTACACAAGGTGCTGGGACATCTTTTCTCCTGTCCTCTCTGTGGGCATCTGGCTCTGAGCCCCAGTCCCTTCATCTGTAAAAGGGGGGTGAGCGACAACCTCTCCTCCCACCCCCCGCCCCCAGAGGACAGGTAGGACTGTGAATTCCCAGCACCCAGCCCCTGCTTCCCCTGACCAGGAACAGATGGAGGGCGTGGGGGAGACACCGTCTGCACCGCAGCATCCTCGAAGGAGCCATTGCTTCCTGCTCCGCGCTTGCATGCTCGGAGCACCATCTGCAGCTCTTGAGCATGTCCAGTTTTAAACAGAAACTTTCATTTCAGGGTCTGGACACTGACCACAGGCGCCCTCTTCCCACCCTTCTGCAGCCCTGGACCTTCTGTATGAATGACACTCACGGCTCTCAGGTGTAGGGAACTGACATTTGAAAAAAATCTCTAGGGTCATCGTGCTCTGTCCTTCCCTCAAAAGTTCTGTTCCATCATCTCCCACGACAGAGGAAGAGATGATAATGATGGAAATAAAGTGACTAAAGTATATCCAAGAACTTATAAGTCATAAGATCCTATAAAACAGAAGCTGCTTTTTATCTGTTGTTAGCAGTCCTGTAAAGCTCTCAGCAAACATTCTAGAGTGGCAACTGCTTTCACCAAGAGGCGTCCTGAAGCTTGGGGCCCTGTGAGCTGAGGGGGTGCAGAAGAAACGGCAGCCTTGGCACCACCACATGATGAGCTGATTATCTGACACTCTGGGCCCCCGGCCCCCTCCTCGGAAGCCTGGGGATGCACCTTACAGGTCACTGAAAAGGTAAAAGTTGGAAACAGACTGGAAAGCCCTTTGTTTAGTCACTCAGTTGTGTCTCTTTGCAACCCCATGGACTGTAGCTCACCAGGATCCTCTGTCCATGGGATTCTCCAGCAAGAATACTGGAGTGAGCTGCCATTTCCTCCTCTAGGGGATCTTCCTGACCCAGGGATCGAACCTGCGTCTACTGCATTGGCAGGCGGGTTCTTTCCCACTGAGCCACCTGGGAAGCCCTGGGAAGCCCTTTGGGGATTATGAAAACATCAAGCGTGAGCACCACGGGCTTCACTGGCCCAGGTGCTGCTGAGAGAACCGTGGTCCTCACCTCAACAAGGGTCATGACGGGAGCTGACGTGATGACCCCTGGGGACAGACTGGGGTGAGTGAGCCTACCCAGGGCTCGTGACAGGGCCAGTGGACGGCAGAGCTGCCTCCTCAGGTCTTCCCACCAGCAGGGGAGAAAACCCCACCCTGAGTGGGCGTGGCTATCCCTGGAGGGCTTTTGAAAATAGGAAACACGGTTGGTCCTGGGGGCTGAAGGTCAAGGGATGAGCCTTGGGGGTACAGGATCCAACCAGATGGCCGGTGCTTCCGGAAGCTCCAGGTTCACTTCCGGCCGGAAGAGGTTAAACTCCAGGTTTACTTCTGGGCGGGAAGAGGTTGCTCTCGAAGAGAGAAGCCGGCGGGAGGATTGCCCTGAGCGCCACCGCAGACCCGGCCCTGGCCCCTGATGCCGATGTCTGTAGCACTTACCAGAAGGCTCTCCAGGTGGAGAACCCAGCCCCTCGCAAGGGCAGGCTGACAGCGAGGCCCTCCGGGAAGTTCTGGATCCCAATTCCAAGGGCTAAATTCCTGAAAGACCAAGGAGGTGCGTGAAAGGCGGACGTCCACAGCAGAGCACCCAGAGGGACGGGTGCCCCTGGCCTCTGAGCAACGCCCTCCTTTGGCGTCAGATGTGCGGGTAGATCCCTGTGACGGGTGAAGGATGGGGAAGGGTTAGAGCGAAGAGGAGGGGGATGAGGATCCTCCCCACTTCAAGCTGCCCCGGGTCTCTGGAGCCGCTCCGGGCTGACGGACATTACAGCACAGCTCCGGGCACACTGGCTGGGTGTCAGAACCCGCGTTCACCACTTACCCACACAGCTCTTCACAAACCACCTCACTTCCACACCTCAGACCCTCGTGTGGAACATGGAAGGGGTCACGTGGGGATGACGACATCTACCATGAGGGGCTATCCTCACCCAGTGACCTGATTCCGTGCCTCTATGGGGTGGTCTTCCCTTACGGCCTGAAGATGGACAGGTCACATTTTTGTTGAGAAACAACTTCAGAAACGGGATGAGGAGGTTCGCCGCAGACTGTGATGGGGACACAGATCAGGGGCTGGGCTGGGCTTCCCCGCGGCCTCCGCAAGCCGGGCTGCGGCTAACACTGCACTTCTGGTGACCCTCTGCCTTCCTGCCTGGGCTCTGTGAATTGGTCATTTGGTTGCAGCCAAGCCTGGAGAGCCTGCTTTGCACCCAGAGGAGGCATTGGAGTGGAAGGGAGGGAGAAACAGAAAGAGATGGGACAAAGGTACTCCATGATCCTTGGGGGAAACCCCCAGGCACCCACATACACTAGGAGCCCTCATTCCACAGGCAGCCAACTACTGCAGCGAAACTGAACGTCCACTGGCAGAAGATGGAATGGCCCAACAGGAGGGAAAGCGGGTCAGGCTGAATGCAACGGGAAGGCAGTCTTAGGGTGCCTCCCCAGACGAGACTGTACCCCGGCTGGACAGGTCCGCAGGGCAGCCCTTCCACCAGGGCTCATCTGGTCACTGAAGGTCTCCAGGGTTTGAGATGTGGGTGCCATTTGGCAGGCAGTGCTGGGACGTGGCCCGAGGGAGTCGTGGATGGACTGGAGGAAAAAGGGAAACACCGCCGTTCCTTGGCTTTTTGGTCAGTTTGCTCATGTCCGTCCACCTTGCTGCTGGTGGGAATCCGGTCATCAGCTCTGGACAGTGGCCAGGGAGTGCTGTCAGCCAGCAGCCGGCTGTACCCTCAGCCCACTCAGCCATCCGGGTGACGCAGCAGTGAAGCATCTGCTGGCTGATGCAGGAGACGCGGCTTCGATCACTGGGTTGGGAAGATCTCCCGGAGAAGGAAATGGCAACCCCCTCCAGTTTCCTTGCCTGGAAAATTCCATGGACTGAGGAGCCCGGCAGACTACAGTTTATGGGGTTGCAAAGTTGGACACGACTGAGCAACTGAACACACACATCCATACAACAAGGTTTTTTTTCAATGAGGAAGGTCAAGGTGCCTGTCCAGCTCTTACATCCCCTGTCTGAGGGCACTCTGCGGCTGGCTCGTGGTCCCAGGCCATCATCCGTCCCCCTTGTCCAGAGGCAGGCACAGGACTCACCCCAGACCTAGCCAGGGAGGGAGTGGCTGCCTCCTGTCGCCAGTGAGTCAGATGTGGGGCTCCGTCTGTTCAAAGTCCTCCCCATGACTTGGGCCTGACTGCAGCCATCGGCCAGGCGGGCAGGCTGTGGAACCTCCTCCTCTACACCCTGCCTGGGAGCCACCATCCTGATAAGCAGCACAGAAACCCCATTCTTCTACGCCCGGCCAGCTGTGTTCCCGGGGCCCTGCCCCGTCTCCGGCACGGGGCTGGCAGCCCAACCAGGTACCGCACCCTCGGGATCCTGCTAGCACCATGGAATCGCTCCCGAGTGCAGCTGGGCTCCTTCAGCCACAGCGCGGGCTGGACCACAGAGGCTCTGCCCTCCCCACCTTTGTAGCCATCCCTTCTTAACCTGGCCGCCCTCTGTATACACACATCAGGGCATCAGGTTCCCGTGGACGCTGTGTCCTGGGCACCTGTGGGGGTGACCCAATGGAAAGGTTCAGTCCCCTCCACACTCTCTCTTCTGCTTCTCCACTTGCATCAGTTCAGAAATTAACCAACCCCCAGCCCCCACCCCCGGCCCCGCACCCGCCCACACCAGGGGGAGATTCTGGAGAATGATGGGGTCAGGCACTGGGTCTGTAGACTTGAGGAATGTGCTAACAGTGTTGAGAGCTACTGGCCTAAGAAGTCATCAAAAGGGATGCTGATGGTGAGGATGGTGGCCACGCCCACCTCCATCTCAGGAGCCCCTGCCCTGCTGGGAGCCAAGGACACCAGGAGCCACTTGTGACTGCATCCATTGGCCTGCAGACTGGGGTGGGGGTGCTGGAGGGGATCCTGGGAAACGGCAGGAGCATCACAGGGGAGGGTCATCGAGGACAGAGGATGCGTGGACAAAAATGATGGGGGAGCTTCCCTGGGGCTCAGTGGTGAAGAGCCCGCCCGCCAATGCAGGGGACACTGGTCTGATCTCCGATCAGGGAAGACCCCACGTGCTGTGGGACAGCTAAGCCCGTGCGCCACCACTACTGAGCCTGTGCTTTGGAGCCTGTGCGTCCAAACTACGAGCCCGCGCACCCTGGAAACTGCTCTGCCGCAAGAGGGTGTTCGCCGCTCAGTCGTGTCCAACTCTTTGCAGTCCCTGGACTGCAGCCCGCCAGGCTCCTCTGTCCATGGGATTCCCCAGGCAAGAATGCTGGAGTAGGTAGCCATTTCCTCCTGCAGGGGATCTTCCCCACCCAGGGATCGAACCTGTGTCTCCTGCATTGCAAGAGGATTCTTTACCATCTGAGCCTCCAGGGAAGCCCAGAGAAGCAAGAGAAGGCACCACCATAAGACCTTGCACCGCCGCTAGAGAAAAGGCAACGCAGCAGTGAAGACCCAACACAGGCAAAAATAGAAGTGACAGAGGATCACGGCCACCATGTGTCCAGGTGCGAAGGAGAAGCGGGGAAGCCAGGGCCCCTCCCTCAGGGCTGACTTAGGAGCGGCGGGGACCTAGGCTGGCCAGCGGGGACGGGACACCATGAAAGTGTCCACAGCCCGGTGATCTTTCTGATCTCACACAAATTCCTCCTCCAGCTCACGCTCCTCACCCTTCCGGATTCTGTGACGTCCGAGTCAGAGCCAAGGCTGGAGATAGCGGCTGGCAGCCAGTGGGGACTCGCTTTTCAGTAGTGACTCCAGAATCCAGCCCTGGGCCCCAGCCATGTGGGAGAGCTCACACACACACACACGGAACACAGAGATGTCAGGAAGGGCCCCACATCTTCCAGGAGTTTACAGTCTAATGGAGGATGAAGAGACCCACTTACAAATGACTCCAGGACAGCATCTGGCCAAAGGCCATGAGGAAAGCACAAAGCCCATGGAGAGAAATGATTCCGGCCGAGAGAGGGAATCTGGGAATCCTTCCTGGAGAAGGTGACATTCAAGGTACACTTTGAAGGATGGGGAGCCTTTCAGTAGCTAGAGAGAGATGGGGAGGTGCTTTTCCATCAGGAAGAATGGGCAATGTAAGCAGGTGTGAGATTTTAAGGCAGGGCAGTCCAGGCCTACCCTTCTCTCCCCCACCCCAATTTAAAGCCACAGGGCACAAACAAGAACAGAAAATGCTCTGGAGTCAAGGCCCATCTCTCCTTGGCATCATCTTCTAAGACTTCTCCCCATGCAGCTAAGCTTGCTGGCTCTTCAGGACAAAGCCTCAGCTCCGCCCCAGTGGTCTCCCCAAGGGCCAAGCCTGAGGTTCCATCCCAGGGTCTCCACCCATGTCTGGAGGCTGACCCCTGTGCTGAATGAGAACCTTGGAGAGGGTTCCCTTGAAATCCATGCCTTAGCCGTCTCCACTCAAACCTTTCACTTAAGAATGTTCCTGGTGGTCCTTTGGTTAAGACTCTGAGAGCTTTCACTGTGGAGGGTGCCAGTTTGATCCCTAGTCAGGGAACTAAAATCTGGCTTGCCAGGTGGCCAAAAAAACCAAAATCCTCTGGCCTTGAGCTTGGGGAAAGCTCTCGGCAAGTGTCGGCAGCAGCACAGACCCTGTTGCAGCAACCTGCGGCCGAAACCGGCTTGTCTGTCGTTACCACGCCCATTGGAGGGAGACTAAGGTCCTCCGGCTAGAATAAAAACGCTGATAATCATCTCTGCCCATTTATGGAGTGTTACTAAATGTCGGGCATGGTTGGAAGCATTTTGCATGTAGTGACATGCTCCGTACTTGCAACTACCTCCTAAGTGTCTTCTACCACCATCACCCCCATTTCACAGATGGGGAAACTGATGCACAAGGGGGTCAGGTGAGGTGTCCCCAGGGTGACCAGCTGGGAAGTGACAGAGGGGACCCGCACCCACTGCTCCATTTGTCTCGCGTCTTCTGTGCCTCAGGCAGACCCGTCAGAACTTCCCGGAGAGAGATGATTATCCGGGCTCCAGGCCCCAGCGGGAGGAGAAGGTGCTGCCTTGTGCCTCCTGGAGCAGTGAGCTGGGGCTCTGGCTCACTCTGGCAGTCCAGGAGCAAAGGCCTGATGGGGGTGATGTTAGCCACAGACCTCCAGGTAGGGGGGTCAGACGTCCCGCCTACAGCTGGCTTCTCCTCGACCTGCCGCTCTGGATGCTGGGGACCCGCTCCTTGCTGTGAGCGCGCATCTGGGGCACTGCGGGGTATCCAGCATCATCCCTGGCCTCTGCTCACCAGATGCCAACAGCCTCCCTTCAGTCGGGACAACTAGGAACATCTGCAGACGCTGCAAAACGTCCCCGGTGAGAACCACGGACCAAAGTGAGCAAGCTTAGGTGAACCTGCTTTCTCGTCAAATAACTGAACGTCTGAAACTGCCAGACTGAACAAGAAAACCGCCCGACTGTGTGCATCTTATTTGAGAATTGCCAGGCTCAGTGGAGTGGGCTCTCCTAGGAACGTTAGCTGCAGCAAGACAGATTCCTGGGATTCAAGG